ACAAAAGCTTTTAATTTAATCGATTACAGGCTTGAATAGAAATTATACTTGTTTGATAATTTTGTATATCATTTGTACTTCATGGCAAACACAAGCCCAAAATGTACAGTACAGAAATAACTAATTGGCTTAAAGCAAGACAAACTGATTAAATCATACAATGATTATTGTTTAACTGAGTATGTCATTAACTCTAGCCTAACTCTTCCTTTATATCCGGTTCAAACTGTTTCAAATCTTTGGAGAAATTACAGACATTAAGCCACACATTCATATTTTGATGTGAAACCTACCACTGGACAAACAACAACACAAATATCTAACTTAAATTCATAGCCTACAACAATATATTTTAGATCTGTCAAGGTAGTAAGTTTATCACGGTAAGTAAAGAAATTTAAGTTTGCCCTATGGCCAAAACTCATTAAAGGTGAGATATGAAGACTGTGTGGGTCATATCTGTTAAAAATATGTTCTAATAAGTGGATCCCTGAAAACATGTCAGAGCAATGTCTTGACAGTTTGTACAATTTGGAGTGGAGTTCTATCTTGCATAAAGAATTTTCATTCAAAACTTCTCTTCTCTGAAATTTAGGAATGATGCTATGTTCCAAGTTGCATCAATAATTGATGCTCTTTCTTCTTGTAAGCTTTCTATGAGCCTCGATGTTGTAAGGTTATCTCTGTTCGTCGATGTTGCCCTAAACTTGCACTAGCGTTATTACAATGGCTGTAATAATGCTTTATGGAAATACTTTTAATGTTCACCAATAAAATGTCACGTGTCATGACGAAACAATTATTATATGTTTGATACTATTTTTATACAGTCATTAGTATGCAACTTGCACTATAATGCCTCATAGTGAGAATTGGTTTTTGACACTAGAATAAGCTTTGCTTCGTCCCCTTACTTTATCTCCAAGGTAAGTTTTTAATAATTTTTGAGTTACGTATAGCATAAAGGCCAACTAACTTTATAATAACCCTTTATATGTATTCATTTATAATATTAAATCCACATATTTGTTTATTTTCTTAAACATTTAAAGATATCAATATTTAATTATGGCAATTTTTTTCTAAGGGTCGGGCGTGGCCCGGTAGTAGGCATGCTCCAACTGGAAATTTGAGGTTAATGGTTGACTGTCCTTTGCTGTAAAACACGCTCCTAGATTTGGAGCCATGAATGAACTATAACAGTAATGATCAATAATTATTCGTTGAGACAAAAGTAGATCAAGAGTTGGCAGTGGGTGCTCTTGTCTAGTTGCCTTCCCTTTGTCTATCAGTTCAAAATTACAGATGGCTATGTACAGAGAGGTATTTGTGTAGCCTTATGCAAAAATTCTGAAACAAACAAACAAATAAATTTGTAAATTTTGTAAATTGTTAGCGATAAGTTCATGAGAAAAGACATTTATGTTTGTTCGACTTTGAAAATGTTATTAATTGCACTTTACATATTTTTCCCAATCAAGAATAACGATATTGTATTGTATACTTTTAGAGCATAAATCAAATTTTAGTTTGGAATTCAATTGCACCGATACCAAGTTATGTACAAACACTAAAAACAAAAATACGATTTTGGCTATTGGTCATTTTTGTCTGTATGTGAATGTATTTCGGTCAAATGTGTATCATGATATGTACAAGAAAGTATGAGAAACATGAAACCACTGGGCCACTAACAATGGCACCAGCTCTCTACAGAAAGATTAGTTTGATTAGCATATTTGACATTTCGAATTTTAAAGATACAAGTGAGTTTGTGATTGGATGTGCTAGGCTACCAAGACGTGGGGCTCAATATGATGCCAAAAATCTTGATCATTAAAAAAGAGAGAAAATCATGGTGTGATTGACACGTTTCACAAACATTCAGCTGGGTTAATTGCTCACGTAATTAGTTGCAGACCACCCAGATGAGTATAAACGTCCACCAGGTGTATTAGAAAAAGAGCCCAACTGTTTGTTAATCAGAGGAAGCAGCGAGAAACATCTTTGACCTATTGTTAGAGTAACTCTGGACAGAAATGCGGATATTTTATGAATAATACAGTGCAGATGAAGAAGTGATATAGCATAATGAAACAATAACCAGTAATGTGGCAATAAACTTGGAAGTTTGTCTTGATAGCACCATTCTGCCAAATGAAGTTTTTTCTTGTAAAGACATTGTCAACTTGTGAACAATAGATGTCTAGATACTGACAAGATATAGAATGATGCTCAATTTGACCATTTCATGGAGTTACTGGAGATTTATTTTGTTTGTTTATTGTTAAACTTAAAGTTAAACAATGGGCTATCTGTGCTGTGCCCACCACGGGTATCGAAACCTGGTTTTTAGCATTATAAACCTTCACATTTAGCACCGAGCAACTGGAGGCAATCTAATTGAAACCATTGGCTTAGTACCAATGAACTGTTCCCACCAGACCAACAAATCTGATCAAATGTTTCATTGCTTCGTATATAGATACGACGACTGGTAAACCTTTTACTGTGGAGATCAGTTATTTATTTTATCAGTTAACTTCATTTATTATGGAAACCTACAAGCTAATAAAACCCACCATACATTTTGGTACTAAACATATGTTTAATTATATCAGCATGGCCAGGTGGTTAGGGCGATCGACTCGCAATCTGAGGGTCGCGGGTTCGAATCCCCGTCACACCAAACATGCTCGCCCTTTCAGCCGTGGGGGCGTTATAATGTGACTGTCAATCCCACTATTCGTTGGTAAAAGAGTAGCCCAAGAGTTGGCGGTGGGTGGTGATGACTAGCTGCCTTCCCTCTAGTCTTACACTGCTAAATTAGGGACGGCTAGCGCAGATAGCCCTCGTGTAGCTTTGCGCGAAATTCAAAAACAAACAAACCAACAAACAAACAATTATATCAGCATAAATATACAAGTTCTGAAGACAAAACGCGTTGTGGTCATGAGCATTGTTCTGAAAAGCTGATGACCACTATGGTTTGGAGAGCGATAAGTCCATGACCAAAAAGTCATAAATATTTTTCTTAAGCATTCCTTATATCTTACACTCGACATAAATTTTACAGACCCAAATAAAATAGTGGAATAAATCAAATTTCAAAAGTCACTTCAAAGCATGTCAAAAAAAAGGGTGGCTTTTTTCGCAAATATATTTTTTCCATGTGTTTCAGGTAAAAGAACAGCAGAGACAGCATGAGAAGAAACTTTTTTTTTCACATTTTATTTTTGTGGAGTATCAACTTTACTTTCTTATTGCATTTCATAAGGTGCAGTATCTGTTCATCAGTGTTCAGTCTGCGTTACGGCACCACAGAAAAAAATCCTCTATACACAGATGATACGACACTTAGTCATTAGTGGTGAAGTTTCAACATAGGAATACTCCTTTTACTTAATGGCAGTGGAAAACAAAGGATTATGGATCAACTTGGGTTATCAGGACCATCCAGAAAAAAGGCCTAGAACAAGTCGTACTCCAGGCAGAGTGCGGCATCTTGTAACAGGTGAGAAAACACGATCACATGTCCAGCAATACTATACAACATAATCAAGAAGGATTACTCATGGGAGACTGACACAAGTCATGTGTACACAACTTGTTTCCATTAAATATCCGTTCAACTGTCGCATACCTCGAGCAGTTGAAGAATAAAGCGGGTATTCGCACTATTTAAAAAACATTATGTAGTTCTGATACGTGCCTTTCCATGGCGATTTCATATCGGCTGTGGTTGTCACGTTACTTCTTGATTTGCATATTAAAACTCGTATTATTACATCGTACACAAACCTGTATTTTATATAGAAAATTAGTGATTCAACCTAATTGTATTTCGTAATTCATTTACATTGCCTGTAACACTTTAAAAAATTATGATGCAATATTTTGATCTCGCTGGTAGTGAACTATATATAAACAAATCAGGAATTTTAGGGATAAAAAATATAGAAAGTGTTTAAAAAGTAACTATGCTTAATTAAGTGGCCTGCAACAAGAAATTTGCTTCCACTGCAAACTTAACTAAAAGCTAATGTTCATGAGGCCTATTTTTGAAAATACCATATATATATACACTTATATTATAGTAAAACTCTCTATATATAATTTGTTCTGTCACCAATTTGCCCAAACATATTACAATCACTCTGTTTGAGATTAAAACTTGAACAAAACACCTCAAAGTTCGTTTAAACTTCAAGACAAATTATTATATGAAGTGTTTGCCTCTTACCAGTTGTCCTCACGTGTATTTCCCACCTAGTACTGGTTTAAAACCACAAGATGTTTTTATAAATTGAAATGACGCGTGTTACGTACAAACTCCAATGAAGTCTTAACAGTGAGGCTCATAAAATCGTTTCTTAGTTTTTAATTCATTTTTATTTTTAAAGAACCTTTTCTGAAATTCTTTTGTGACTTTAGAAGACTAACTGAGGAGATGCACGGGACTTACTTTAAATAATTTATCTTACAGTGATACTTAAGTACAGGATGGTTATAACTGCTCATGCAAGACTTCCCAAAGCCCCACAGCTTAAATACAGAGCTCCAACCGTAAAGTACGAATGTAAGTGTTATAACCAGCAAAATGGATAAATATCCATTGAAAACCCTTTAATTTAGGTGTTTTTTTCATGAACAGTATAAATTCGTACATTCCTAAATAATATCGCAAAAGCTTTATTACTTTGTAAAAAATGGTAGACATTTCTCGACGATATTAGTTACTTCTTTTTTTTTAGATTTAAATAGTTTGTTTTAGTCCTTCATTCTTAACCCCCCCCCCCCCGATTCCAATACTCTGTGCACATTTTTGCGACAACTGGACATGCTAACACCTAGACAACGCCTAGCCCTGAGAAGAACGAACGACGTTACCTCAGCTGTACTAGCTGTACTAATTTAAGGACAACTAGTATACGCAATCTCCAACCACAAAAAGCACAAACCGGTATATGTTTGTAATACAATGCAAGTTCATTCAGTAATTAAAAAAAGACAACCATTTTAATAGAACCCATTGTACACAATATACAATATATAAAGTTCAGCATCAAATCTTCACTTTGGAATACATTTAAATATCACTTGTATCTTTATGTATATATTAAAACATTGATTTATATTCTGGCAATGAGGAGTGTAAAAATTCTGCACATATCTTTAATACAATTTTTTTAACACTTGTACGCAAATCTGATATCTTTGGAAACTATATTATACATTAAGTTTAATTAAAGTATCAATTCACAGGAACACCAAATCTTACATGACTACAGGAAACATACCTGGCGCTTCTACTTGTAAAACGAGCAATGGTGCAACCTGGTAAATATAAAACAAACTCAGCACGTCTCCAGTTACCAAGTGCAATTATATTTTATTTCATATAATATTAGTGTTTTGTGTAGTTAATTGGAAAATAAAAACAACCCGTTTTATTCAGATTTAAGCTTGATATTTTAATTGAAAACTTAAGGACTTGTAAAATATATCTGATCATGTTACGTATATTATAAGCCACACGTCTAGGATCAAGTCAGGATTATTTTTTTTTTAATTTGTTTGTATATTAGATTTTGGGCAAAGCTACACAAAAGGCTGTCTGAGCTCTTTCCACCCCGGGTTTTAGCGTTGTAAGCCAGTAAATTCACCGCTGACCCACTGGGGAACTAAAAATTTTGAGGGAAAGTAATGTAACCGTGGTAATGCACGTACTGATTTCATCATATTTATCGTACCTTTGATTATTAAATGGAATTACACCCATGTAAAAGTGTGGAACATGAAAACTATAGGAAAAAAAGCACTCTTGCGTTAAAAATCCTATTAGGAACTTAATGCGATCTGTTAGTGTTACTTCTTACTTGTTTGGTTATCTTTGGGCGAGCACAGCTGTCTGGCAATAAGCCTATATTAAACTCACCTAAGATTCCATCTGGTAGTGAAAGTGTTAGAAGATAAAGTTTGTAATTATTCGCATCCTAATAAGTTGGCTTATACTTTTCACGAGGTTAATGATAAATTAGATTTATTGACGGTAATATTGTCTTTAATATTTTACAGGCACTCTAATAATTTTAGAATTAATTGTTTTAAGCTCAATTCTAGTAACTTTTTATGCCAGGTTGTAAGAAAACATTCACAACATAATCGTACGTGATTTTTAACACCACATTATCTTAACCTATAGCCATGCTCAGAGGCGTCGCTTGGTACATAAAAGATTCGGGGCACTGTCAAATAGAATCAGGGCATGGGCCATGTGTTCCATTACCTAGCGACGCCTCTGGCCATGATGTTCACCGATTTCAAATCTTCATTCACGAGAGAAACTTACTTGCGAATATACGCATGCGCTCTGTAAGAATTTGAGCCTCAGTTTTGTTCATATCTACCACTTATATTTTACAATACAACAATGCGGAAACTTTCATACACTCTAGCCATAAAAAACTTAAAATTCTTAATGAACACGAAGTACACTTAACATAGGTTAGGCCTACTTTTGCACTCGGTAATGTGATATCACGTTTCTGTGATACATCTCTACATGTTAGGCCTACTTCTACTATCGATAATGTAGTGTCACGTTTCCGTGATACATATACATCACTAAGAAGTGTTTCTCAGTGCTCATTGAAAGCAATGACTTTGAACATTTTAATCACAGAAAAAAAAAAACTTCTTTTTTTCTGAAAACATGAACAAAAGTATTAAACACTAATTTACAAAAGATTTGGTGTCCTGTCATGATTCGTAATAAGAGTCTTGACACCTATTTCGTTTAAACTTAAATACATTTCAAAGTTTTAAAAAAGGCTTAGGCATTCTAAATAAATCAAGATGAAAAGTAAAGATAAAACTGACATTATGACGTATTTATTATTATAGGACGCCACAGACAGAACTACCATATGGCAAAATAAAATATAAGGAAAATGAGTCCTCTAGTTTCACCACAAATTTTATGCTACAATTTTAGTTTGAATAAGTAAAATTTAATAAAATCTATATCACAGTAATATAAAACCTTATTATTATGAACACATTAAAAAGTAGTGATTTATTTTGATAAATGAGCAGTCAGCTTATTTGAAACCAGTTCAAAAATTCAAGTAACCTATCGTACTTGTTATTCCTTGACATATAGTTTGATGTTACAACTGTACATATAACACCAGTGCCAACACATGTGAGGCAATATAATAAACTACCTTCATTTTTTTCCTTACAAACGAACTATAAAAAAAAACACACCAAACCATAATAATAAAAAATTAGGTGTAACTCAAGCCAGACCTACTTTAAACTTAGACGGCCTCATGTTGTCGTAGTGCATCTATAAATAAGTCATTCTCTGAATTTACTAAAAATTAAGAGATGTAGAAAGATAAAAAATCTTAAGAAAACAAAATTTTGCAAAATTATATTAACAAAGAATAATACGTTAAAAACAACAACAACAGATTTTGGAGGGCAATGCTTTTAGCAACAGAGCAAGCAGTCACTAAAGTATTCATTCTTGTGCAGGTCTGGAGGTTTTATAGTCAACTTTTAATATTCATCAAACGAAACTGCAATCTTTAATTTTTTTATATGCTTTATGTCTCCTGTAGATACACTAGTGAGATTTGCACTGTACTTGAAAGATATCAATAGTTAATACATAATTAAAGCATCTCAAGAACGTTAACTGTTTGAAGCAAAAGTATAAAGTAACTACACAACATTCTAAATTTTTGTTCACTCCTACTTTTCAATTTCAAACTAATATTAAAGAAGTTGACTATTGTGTCATTTGATATTGCTTTAAAATTCACCCCAAGTTACCAGTTTTTTTATAGCTGGGATTTAATTGAAGGAAAAAATGTTTCATTCCGGATTTATGTATTTGTGGAAGTTCATGATATAAATATTTATCTGGTAAATCTTGCTTAAACATTATTCTAATTTATCGCGTTTTTTTATGCTCTTTGAACATATAACACTCAGAGGCAGTAAAAAAAAAAAGCATTACTAGTTTCAAATTGGACATTACATCCCACCACCGTGTTATAGTTTTAAACAAGTCACATACCACTGACTGATTGGTTTGGAAGACTGACATGTTTAAACACTGATTAATGATTGTCGATTGTCGTAAAATTTGTAACATGTGACTCAACACTCATCACTCTCAACAATTTCTGCAGTTTTATCTAGAGTGCTAGAGAGCCTTAATGTATATTGTCTTTTAGATCAGGAAGAATCCTCCATCTGGCAATATTAGTGACGTTATTTTCCCGATGTAGTTATATCGTTCCGCTTTTCATATTCATCTAAATGACAATGGATACAGTGCATACAAACTACACAATGTCCTATTTTCTTCGCCAATTTTGATCGTAGTTTTAATGCAGGCCCAAGTTTCATTCCTAAATAAGTTGTCAAATGATCTTCATTCAGGAGTGGTAAGCTGGTGCCATCTATGGAGTGTTCTCGGAAATTCTATAAAATAGAGACAGTAACTTTAAATTTTATAACTGAAAATCTAACATAAATGCAAATGAAGTGACACTTTAATACAGGAGAAATTACAAGGAAATTTAGTAACCATTAAAAAATCATTGTGACGATTAATATGCTATGGTCCACAAACATTGAGTGTTTATATCATTACTTGATTTTTTTACATGAAATTTATTCACTGAAACATTTACTAATTCTTCACCATTCTCTATAAATATCACAAGCAGTTGAAAAATAAATAAATGATTAAGTACATACGTGATCACAATATGTTCATACACTAACTCACTATGCCGCCAAAGTATCGTATAAAATTACAAAATAGTCTCCCACTGGGTCAGCGGGAAGTTTACCAACTTACAACAGAAAGTAGATAACCTACTGTGTAGATTTGCGCTAAAATAAGCAAAACAAAAACAAAAGAATAACTAATAAAGCTCATACAAAACCATTCTTTGAGGAGAAACATTCACTGATTGGTACATTTAAAGGCAAAATAAGTTGAACTTAAGTAAATATGGAATGATGACCAAATGCAACGATGTTAACGATTTCTATGATGAAGTTTTGTAGACATATCCCGTCTGTGACCTTTCTTCCTTGAAGTATTCTTTTCCAACAGTACAAAATCGTGAATTTCATTGTCAGTGTAGTGTATATTTTATACAGCACACACACACACACACACAAATATATGTGAAGGCTTGAACTTGACTTTTCGAGCTTACAATTATAAATTTTCGTTAAATGTCAAGGTTTGACCTTGACTTTTCAAGCTTACAATTATAAATTTTCGTTAAATGTCAAGTTTAACCTTGACTTTTCAAGCTTACAATTCTAAATTTTAGGACTGATGTGCGCAAAAACTTCCTATAATATTCACATACCAACGCAAAGAGAAAACACATGCACGTAAAAGACAATTCGTCTGTGGTATCAGGATGTAAATATTCTCTTGATTTCAATAAATCGTTAAGTTCAGAAAAACAACAAAAAATTAAATGGTTAAATATTTGGAATAAACACTAAACTACTAGCTAATCGTAGCAGAGAAACAGTTTCATTTCAAGAAGTTTGTAAATATCGTATGATATGTATCTATATAAAATTAATCCTATAATTTATAGCATCAAATACGGTCCAGAGTGTCATTTATAGAAGGTATTAATGACCTTCTCAACTGAGACTGAAATTTGGTGTATTGTTTGGTTTGTTTTGAATTTCGCGCAAAGCTACACAAGGGCTATCTGCGCTAGCCGTTCCTAATTTAGCAGTGAAATACTAGAAGGAAGGCAGCCAGTGATCATCACCCATCGCCAATTCTTGGGCTACTTTTTTACCAACTAGGGTTGACCGTCACATTAGAATGCCCCCACGGCTGAAAGAGCGAGCATATTTGGTGGGATGTGAATTCGAACCCGTTACCCTCAAATTGCAAATCAAACGCCCTAACCACCTGGCCATGCCGGGCCCGAAATTTGGTGTACAAATATATCTCGCTTTTATCAATCACTTGGTGACACTTGGAATCAAACTTCTTTCTGCTTCGAAGAGGCACTTCACTGAACGATGGCGCGACTAACTTACTATTTGTTTGTAATTAAACACAAAGCTACACAATGGGTTATCTGTGCTCTGCCCCCCACGGGCATCGAAACCCGGTTTCTAGCGTTGTAAGCATGCAAACATACCGTTTTGCTACTGGGGGGGCTTTTCTTACAACTTTTATAAATTTTAAATATTTTTATACGTGTGAATACTTTATACACAATGAGATTAGAGATTAGCAGATGAAACTGTTCTGCCACTCGAAATTCTCGGTTTATTTGTTTGTGTCATATGTTCGCATTGCCATCTCTAATTTTGAGCTTACGGACAAGCTACTGTGAGGTAAGAACAATACATATTAATATATTTTGTTTTATATGTTGCTACAATTAGTTGTTGGTTAACAGCAGCTGTTTTACGTAAGTCAACAACCTTCACACATTCCATCAATCTAATTAAAGAATGTTTGATTGATGGTTGTAAAGGCAACTTGTAAGACTAAACATAATACATATCAACTACACAAGCTTATGATAATCATATTCTCCTGTTACAAAATCAACATTGTTACCTGCAATTAATTGTAATGCACGAAAACAGTTTTCTCGTTATATTTTTTCCCGGATCTTATAAACGCAAGCAAAAGGAATGCAGGTAGCTTTTTTTTTGTGTGTGTGTGTGGGGGGGGGGAGAAAGTGATACTGTAAACAAGTGTTTAGGTCAATTTGTTTGGTTTAAATTTTTCGTTTTTTTTACTCACCACGAATAACTTAAAATATTTAGGTGTTTAGATAACATGTGACATACAGTCACAATTAATTATCCATTATTATACAGCGGATTAACTGTTTTTTTTTCTTCGTTGTTGTTAATTTATTTTTCTCACCACAACGTGAATAGTGTCTAGGTCAATAATTAACGTTTTTTTAAGCCAAGGGTCGTCACGACTAATTGCTCTTTGCTCCCTCATGTTGTAAAGATCAAAATTCAAACCATGAATTCCTAGGTTTAGCAAAATGTGCTTTTCTTCTAGTTAATTATTATAATTAGTCGTGATCCTTTATAGAGGACAAATGACTGGGATGCGTAAGAAAAGGTCGATGTACATTTGGTCAGTAAACTCAGTAATTATGGCCACTGTTTGGGGGGTTCGTTTTCTTCTTAAGTGCTACTGCAACTGCGTCACTTTGAAAACGCTCTCGACCTGTAGGTCATTCGCTTAATCCATCATTAGATGAGAGTTTACGCGATAAAGCCTTACTAGACACTCCTCGTATCTCAACAGGTGACGGTGATGGAAAATTTATATATTACAATCGTGATTTCTGGGGCAAAAGAAGTAGCAAGAGCAGGGTTAAAGGAGAGTTGAGAATTTTGGGTATACAGTCGGTTAGCTACATTCTAAGCCGGATATTTCAAATAACTGAAATATACGACCTTGGATTCGAATCACGAGTGTTTATCATTTGATTTGCTCTTGAATGTAGTTTTTAATCTCTTTTTCGCTACCAAGAGCTGTAACCTAATGGAACGCTCACGTATATATACTAGTACAAATAATTGTTAAGTTTTGAATAAGACACAGTGTCTTTCGTATTATAAAATGTTTAATCATGAAAGATGCAATTTAACAAAATTAAAGGTCCTAGTGGCTACTATGTTACCACATATCTTATCGAGCAGTATAAAACTCAAGAAACCAAAAGGTCCTGGTGGGTTACTGTGTTACCACATATCTTATCGTGTAGTATAAAACTCAAGAAACCAAAAGGTTCCAGTGGCTACTATGTTACCACATATCTTATCGTGCAGTATAAAACTTAAGAAACCAAAAGATCCCAGTGATCACTGTGTTACCACATATTTTATACGATTTGCGATATTATGCTATTTTCAAAAATTATATTATTCGATGATATAAAGACTGAACATTTTGAATTAAAAGGAGCAACCTACTTTGTGATATGTGATTAAGTAGAATATATTTAATTTTTTTATTAGCAGTTGGTAGTTCTCCAAATAAGAGATTATTTTGAGCGACCAATCCAAAAACATATTGTTGAATTCAACAGGTCTTCAGAGGCTAAAAAACGTACAGGTTCTTGTGATAACAGTTCGGAGTATCTTTGATAAAAACTTGTCTAATGTTATTCCTCACAGCTTTAAGGTGTCGAGACATATATAGAAAGTATTTGCATTTACATTTATTCGTAGAGATGAGCACATCTAACTCCTAATGATGAATCATTAGCTTGCGAGGAAATGCACCTTTTCTCGAAGATCTCACCCAAATTGATATAAAATTTACTTTCAAAGTTCCCCCTTTCTATTCGTATTTAATATTTTTAACCTGAGCAGCACCTTATGCAAAACATGGCTGAATGGCTAAATCAAATACACAAGATCCACACTTATTTATTCTTAATTTTGATCTGTTGATGAAAGGGAGAGCACCCAGTTAGCAGTATTCGCCACCTACATGGCTACTCTTAACTAAATAGCGTGATTATAACACCCCACAGCTGAAAGTGCAGTATGCGTTCAGCCGCATATCGTGGCTTGAATCTTAGACCTTCCGATCAACAGCTCGGCACGCCAAACACTAGCCCACACTCTTTTTTTTTATTGTTTCATCTCTGTAGTTATTTAGCAATAACACTCAGCACAATGTGGTCACCTGTGTTTAGAAAGTCATATGATAATACAATAGCTAGAGTTTACACAGTTTTTATTTTAGCAAGAAAATTTATAAGTAAAATACAAGAGCTCCGTAAATACATGTAATTAAATAAAAAAAATGTTAGTTAATTATATACTCCAGACCTAATAAATTTCTTAACATCAAAAAAAGCAAAGAAACGTTTTTACCCATCATTATCGTACCAATAATACAATAATTTTCGGATGTAATATTATGAATAAACACCGATTTGATGAGGTTGGGAGACTCGCCTCCGGTGAAGACCATGTATTATCAGACAGAAAAATATTTTCGGTAAACTTTGTAAATGCTACCCTTTTCACTATTTTCAACAAAATGGCGTGCTGTAATCATGTTTCACATACTAAATATTATTTTTGAAATTACAACTAGAAATAACCAATGATTTCAAACTCTTTATAAAATTGATCACCACTTACGTAAACAAACTTTTAGCAATGATATTCACGCATCAGGACACAATAGTTCAAATTATTTCCTTCTTTCATATCTTTGAGTTTGAGTCATGTGATTGAAAGTAAACTGAAGAGGGTTTTTAACGCATTGGTACGATGAAAATTACAGAACGATGTTCCGAGTGCATTATTTTTGTTGTTACAAGGCCATTGTACGTGTGTAAACTAAACTGGAAATGTTGTTTTTTCTCAATAAAATTCAGAGATCTAAATGCTCACCACATAATAATATTAATGAATTGTACAGAAATCAC